ACTGAAAAAAGACAAAAGTCTATCCAGTTCAACCTTTAAAAAAAAAAAAAATTAGAATCCTATACCCACAGTGGATCCAGAGGAAGGCAATAAAACCCAGCAAAGCATGTTCCAATTTGCTCCTGCAGAGGAAAAAAATTCCTTCCTGATCCCCAAGAGTCAATCGGATATTCCCTGGATCAACTTTACCTATAAATGTTAGTCCTCTATCAAGGTGTATCGGGCTGGCATTCAGAATAAATAGCAACACACTGCACCAACTTGGTTAATGTGCATTACCAGGTGTTGCAAAGTTAGCATGCAGTTGAGTAGAAGGGTCCTTATTGAAGATTCACTTCAATTATCCAGTCATATGTAAAGGAAATTCCTGTTAACATATCTCATCTGCATATAACGGGGTTTACAAGGTGAACACAGGCACAATTTATTAAATTTAGGTTCTCAACTATTTTAGCAAATTAGACTCAAAATGCCAGTAAGTTCTGTTCACAGCAAACTACTCTTTTTCTAAAATTGCATTTGATAAACAATAACAATAAGTGAAGATGCAAAATCATTGGGCTGATTTACTAAAGTAATTTAGAATATTGAAAAAAATGCAGTATATCCACGCTAAAAATAAACCAAAAAAAGGATACAAGCAGCTACTTATGTGATTGTGATATCAACCCTCTATACATTTAACTCAAAAAAGCAGCACTAACCAAAATTAGATAAACATTTAGGAAAAAAAGTGCAAGTGTTAAAGTGAATCATCTGATCAATATAAAGTGCATAAAAAAAATAAAGTGCATCAAAGTCCAATGTGCAAATATTAGCATAAGTGCAAAAAGTCCATATTGAACATAGAGATCAAATGATCCCAATACTGAAGTGCTTAAAGAAAGGTGATCCACAAATTTGCAGCCAATCACTCTTCCTATGTGAAGTGGTGTGACAAACTCCAACACCAGGTAAACCCTGTTTTCTGTCGCCTCTTACCAGAAATGGTGGACTATGAAGGTCAAATAAATGGTCAAATGCGCCCATGAAACTCCTCCACAGCTATCATCGACTCAGCACAGAAGCAGAAATCCATCAACAGTAAAAAAATGTAAAAACTTCCATGGTGAAATAAATAAAAAAAGGTTTCACACTAGTTATTGAGTCTACAAAATAAACAAATGATTTCCAGCAACTCTTGTTCAAAAGACAAGTCTGAATAGAAACCATAAAAACGTAGCAAGCTGATAGCTCCCAAACAATGGAAAAAACCGCCAATCACCATGAGCTTAGAGCATGATGACATCACATGCAAGCCACTCCTGACGTGTTTCCTCAGAATGACGTCTTCGGGGGGGGGGGGGGGAGGCTGAACATCCATCATCACGTAAGAAGAGAATATATGCACATGAACCCACTGCAATGAAAAGATACCGCACTTGCGCAAAATGTCCGCCGATCACACAGACCGCGCATATGCGAGATGTCCGCCAACTATACAGACCATGCATGCACAAAGTGTCTATCAACCAGTCAAAAAAGACCACACCTGCACAAAATGTCCTTTAACCAGTCAAAATGGATAGCAGATGAGAACTAGTCATCATTCCGCAACCACCCACACTCAATGCATTTAGCACCTAGGTGGCCAGCAGCAATACAAAATATCACACACTGAATGCACACACCATCTAGTGGGGAAATATAAACAAACAATTAAAAATTTAAAAAGAAAGCAATCAGCCTGCCAATAGTGTTACACATATAAAAAATGAGGAGAAATGGGATATACAGAGGAAAAACAAGAAAAATATTAATAGTACAGCCAGTAAATATATTCCACAAAATAGAAATATCAAAAATAACTTGAAGAGCTAATAGTCATGAATTATTATGAATGCTAGAATGAGGACATCAACTGTTATTAATAAAACTGTTGACGTCCCATTCAACATTTAACACAAATGGGATATAAGTCTTGAGGTTATAAAACCACTTGGTTTCTAGGCGTGATATTTCCCTCCTAATAAAGCTGCCCCTCCAGTGTGGTGAGAAATGGTCAATGGCCATAAAGGTGCTATTAGCTAGATCATTACCATGACATCTAGCATAGTGCTTGGGCACATTATGTCCTGAAAACTCAGACCTGATATTAGCTATATGTTCTTTTAATCAAGTTTAACATTCCCTTACTGTCCTCCCAATATATTGCTGAACACATGGGCAAATTATTATATAAATTACATTCCTAGTGTTACAGCTCACAAAAGTACAACTATAGTAGCTTTTAGATGTTTGTTTGGAACAAAAAGATGTGATCTTTCTACCTTTGAAGCAATTGATTTTATATACTTCGTATTTACGGCACAAATAATAACCCTTCAATTCCTGAAAGAATTTAGGTCTAATAGGGGGATGGATGATGTTAGGAGCTATTAGGTTCCTCTATGAGGGAGCTCCTCTATATACCACCTCTGGTTTGTCAGGCAATAAAGGATCAAAAATGGAATCCTTTTTCAACAACAACCAATGTCTCTTAATGCTTTTCTTTAGATCCAGATCCTTAAGGACCATGTCTCTAAAGACAGACACTGAAGGTGCCATAGCCTTAGGTGGATTAAAAAGTTTCACTTTAGACAGTTTAGAATGAACAATACCATTCTTAACATCCACCATATCTTTTATAGGATTAGGAATTATATATCTCTTGATATTAATCTTCCTGATGTACTTCTGGACATCCATAAAAGTATTTATTCAATCTTTTAGGAGGTGCATGTTTTAAATCTTTACTAACAGCCAATGTCTTCTTTCTAGTGAGTTTAACCCCACTTGGATTAATCTTCTTAATCTTTTGTTATCTCTTCCCCCCTCTGGTGCCTTTCTTTGTTTGTTTCTTCTTTTCAAATCTTGGGGTGATTGATGAAAAAAAAACAAGAATTAGCATCCCATCCATCTCCAACCAGAGAATTGAGGTGACTAGACTATTTGGGGTAGATACATAAATGACATCCTCCTTCTATGAGATGGAGAGTCTGGGTCTTTACTTGATGCCCAGCTTTATAATAATTATAGGGGGATTGCCCTACAATGTAAATGGAGCACACTGAAGGTACATTTCTTAGACCTAACAATTAAAGCCGGTAATGATATTCTTCAAACAGTGAATTTTTTCAAGGAAACAGATATGAATTTCTACTTGGTCAGGACGAGTTGCCATCACATGTCCTGGCTTAATCCGGTTCCCAAGAGCCTCTGATGTTAGGGACTACTATTTACAATCAGAAGTGTTAATGTAAAGATTTATCAGTAAAGTATACGATATAGGGGAAATTAATCAAGTTATTAATGAGATTGCCGATAGAGGAACATTTTGTTTTCTAGGAACAACTCCAATGACAGTAACAATGATTCTTTCAACTGGACCTTTGTCATCTTATTTTCAAATCAACACTGGGCAGTGAAGAAAATCATTAAGAGAAATTGGTTGGTGCTGAAAAATGATTCTATTATAGGTCCTTTATTGCCTGACAAACCAGTTGTGGTATACTGAGGAACCCCCTCATTGAGGAACCTAATAGCTCCTAATGCCATCCACCCCCTAATAGACCTAAATTCTTCCAGGAATTTAGGGGTTATTACTTGTGTAGTAAATGCGAAGTATGTAAAATCAATTGCTTCAAAAGGTAGAAAAATCACATCTTTTTGTTCAAATCAAACATCTAAAAGTTACTATATTGGTACTTTTATGAGCTGTAACACTAGGAATGTAATTTCTATGATAATTTGCCCATGTGGCTGGCAATACATTGGGAGAACTGTAAGGAAACTTCAAACCCGATTAAATAAACATATAGCTAATATCAGGTCTGGGTTTTCAGGACATGGTGTGCCCAAGCACTATGCTAGATGTCATGGTAAGGATCCGGCTGGCACCACCTTTATACTCATTGACCATTTCTCACCACACTGGAGGGACAGCTTTGTTAGGAGGGAAATATCACTCCTAGAAATCAAGTGGATTTATAACCTCAAGACTTATGTCCCATTTGGGTTAAATGTTGAATGGGATGTCAACAGTTTTAATTATAATTCATGGCTATTAGCCTTTCAGGTTATTTTTGGTATTTTTATTTTGTGGGATATACTAACTGGCTGTACTATGAATATTTTTGATGTTTTTCCTCTGTATATCCCATTCCTCCTCATCTTTTAAATGTGTAACAATATTGGCAAGCTGATTACTTTCTTTTTAATTTTTTTAATTGTCTGTTTTTTATTTCCACATTAGATGGTGTGTGCATTCAGTATGTGATATTATGTATTGCTGCTGGCCACCTAGGTGCTAAATGCATTGAGTATGGGAGATTGCCGAATGATGACTAGTTCTCATCTGCCATCCGTTTTGACTGGTTGAAGGACATTTTGTGCATGCGTGGTCTGTTTTAACTGGTTGATAAATAAATTGTGTAATTATTAACTGCTATTATCCAGTTATATGAACTGAAAACTCTTGCTCACTTCAATTACCAATCATGCACAAATAAAAAGAAAGTAAAAATAAATTTGCTTTTTTACATGATTGGATAACTAAAATGAATACTCACACAATTTATTTATTGAACAGTCTTTACTAAATCAGCATGAGTACTTAGTGTTGTTTTTCCTAAAATTGTTACTTAAGGCATGCCAAAAAAGGCAGTGGACATGATTAACTACAGGGAAATGAACAAGAGCAGGGATAAATCACCATTGTACACATTGTGAGATCATATGAGTAGAGAGTGAACATTTGCTCATGCATCTGCACAAATAGCAGGTGCATAGTACATACCAGGGGCGGACTGACCATCTGGAAACGCGGGCACTGCCCAAGGGCCCGGGGTCAGTAGGGGGCCCCTTGAGATGCCCCTGGTACCTTTTTCATAGGCTTTTTTGAGTTTGGGCAAGGACACAGGGGCCCCATGATCCCCTATTGCCCAGGGGCCCCATGAGTTGTCAGTCCGCCCTTGGTACATACTATAAGGATACAATTTGATTTTGTGCATAATCAATGCCACACCATGCATGCATGTGCTTAGGTAACTCTTGCTCAAAAATCTAGCCTAGTGTACTTTCCATTTTCTGTGCCACTAGGGATCATAGGGTATAGTCCAAGAAGACAGTAGGGCCATTTGTTATTATCTTCTGACCAAATTAATAAAAATCATTTTCAATCACATATGGTCATAATGAACCATTTCTAGTTCTTTTCCATTGGGCTTGTTTAACAGTAGGCCTAAAGAGAGCCTTTCCTTCAAGAAACACCGGTACTGAAAGTGAATACAAAGGTAAGAGTAATCATTGACAGATATCACATGTCAGATTTGTGGGATGAATATCAGTAAAAACGATCCCATGAAAGAGCTCTGTGATAAATATAAGTAAAAATATTTTTGGTAAAAAAGTTTGTTCATAGTTATGAAAATAATATAATGATTTAATATGAAACATTCCCCAGACAGAAAATAAATGTAATTATTGGTTTGCTCCATGCCATATTTTAAAAGTATTTCAAAATGTACCTGAAAGTCAAAGCTTATGTAGGGCTCCCATTCATTCTTGTCTGTTCCTCTTAATCTCCAGAGCTGAAGGTGGGGCCTACTATGTAACAACTGTGTGACATAGGCTCAAGGCAAGGCTCCAGTATGACTGACAGCTAAAGCAGAGATGTGGGTCATTTGACAACAATGTAACCTCTAATTGCCTACCCACATCATAGATGTTAATCTGGTGGGGGCAGATTGTAAAGCCAGTGGCATTAATGAAAGGATTAGTTCACCCAAAATTGATATTTCAGCTTTTAGTAGCTGTTGAGCTAGTAGTTGAGTTAACACACCTACCAGTTTCCTATATAAAGGACACTATTGATGAGGTTCCTAGTTATGTATATTATACTTGCTTTTTCTATTAGGAAGATTTAATCCACTATGTTGAATATGGGGAATGTAACAGGAGAAAATGGGATATGCACAGGTTGGTGGTAACACCTTAAACTCCCAAGTAAAAAGAAGCAGAATCCCGGAACTATACTCAGGAGATGTTACTGTTGAGAGTATCCAGGACATATGGTTTACTCAACCCACCAGAATCCAGCTATGACTAAATTACCATGTTTGAGTTGAGTGGGACTGCCTATACTTGATGTAGGGAATGCCAGAACAAAGTACAATGGAGCAGAGATATAATCACAATCATATTGTCAGTCATTTCATACCATCGTCACTTGGCCAGCAGTTTTATTTAAAAAATGTTAATTGAACAGCCCAATAATGGCAGTAAATACGGACAAAGAATAGTCTAACAAAAACATTAGATATAATATTCCAACAGGTGTGTACATAATGTAATTTACATTTTTTATGCATGTTTGGACTTTCAATTTTGGGTTGACTAAACCTTGAAGGAAACTATTTATATTTCATGTAAGAATTACCAGAACAAAACATCTTGGAGCAGTGACACCTGGATACCAAGAACATCAATTATTTTTGACTGTAGTAACTTGGCTTAAGGTTTTTTTTACCTTAAGGTGTTCTCTGTATTAAGGTAAAAAAACCTTCAGCTCCCCAGTCCCCCCTAAATACTTACCTTAGCCTGATCTTGATCCAGCTCTGTGCCCAAGAGTAGTGGCGCTGCTCTCTCTCTTTCTCCTCACTGGATACGGAGGCGGCAGCGTGATATCCATGCTGTCAATCAAACGTAATGAAGAGGGGGTGGGGGTGAAGCCAAGATGTACTGTGTGTGTCAATATACACACACAGCTTGGCTCAGAATTGAGCCCACATGTGTGCACTATAGCAAGTGGCTTCTTGTGGTGGCACACGGAGAAGAGGAGAAGCCTAGAGTGCTGGTGGGGGACCTGAGACGAGGAGGATCAGAGCTGCTCTGTGCAAAACCATTGCACAGGTCACGTAAGTATAACATGTTTGTAAATAACTTTACAATAAAGTTAATTGAACAGTCAATCAATGGTAGTCAATAAGGGAGAGAATAACATGTGTGTGTTGGGAAGAATTCAATAAAGCTGCCCTGTCACTTTTTTGGTGTTAATTGCTCTGGTTAACATGTTGCTCCTAATTAAAAAAACAACATCTGTAACATTAACCACTTGCCTACTGAGGATTTACCCCCCTTCCTGGCCAGGCCATTTTTTGTGTTACAGCGCTGCGTTACTTTAACTGACAATTGCGCAGTCATGCAACGCTGCACCCAAATGAAATTTACATCTTTCTTTCCCACAAATTGAGCTTTCTTTCAGTGGTATTTGATGCCTGTGTGTTTTTTTATTTTTTGCGCTATAAAAAAACTGACAATTTTGAGAAAAAACTATATTTTTTACTGTTTGTTATTAAACATGTCCAGTAAAAAAATTTAAAAAATCAAATTTCATCATAAATTTAGGCCAAAATGTAAATGAAATGGTTTACGCGAAAGTTTTAGTGTTTACAAATGGCTGTATAGATACTGGAATTTTTTTTTTAATTATTTTTACTAGTAATGGCAGCGATGAGCGACTTATAGCGGGACTACGGAGGGCATTCTGACACTGGGGGGAACTGACTTGACATCGCCAGTGACACCAATACAGTAATCAGTGCTAAAAAAAAAAGTACTGACACTGTACTAATGGCACTGGGCAGGAAGGGGTTAATTTCATTCTGATTCATGCACCTAATTCAGGTAGTTCTCATTTTCTCCCATTTTTTATTGTGACACAACACCTGCACCAAATCCAAAAAAAAATACGTACACTTTCCCACTGTTCAACAGGTAAAAAGTTTTGGGCATAAAATTAGCTAATCTTACATAATTTTGGGGTGCTGAAAACAAAAATGACCCTAAAAAATGTTGATTGGCTCTAGTTTCCATGATATATTCACCCATCTAATGACGTAAGCCATTCAAAATTATGATGCAACTTCAGCTGCATATTGCGCAATTGATACTGGTGACCAACAGAAAATTGCATGTATACTGAGATGATGCAATATTAGCCTTTAATTGCATCACTTCACTGCATAAAAGCTGCAGTATCTGTAGCTGATTGTAGTTCGACAGCGTCTTTACATTTCGTTTTATGCTTATATAGGCTACTCAGTAATGCCTCGAACTTGTGTGAATAAAGCAGATAATTTCTGCTATATCTGCGGTGAAATAACTTTTATCTCACAAAAAAGGAGGATAACAGGAATGATTAAGAAAGCCTACAACTTGTATTTTGGCTGCAAGATAGGAGGCCAGGACAAGAGCTGGGCACCACATATATGCTGCAATTCTTGTGGGACGGCACTGGAGCAATGGTTGAATGGAAAAAAGGCATCTATGCCTTTCGCTGTGCCAATGATTTGGAGAGAGCCAACAGATCATGTTAGTAATTGTTACTTTTGTATGGTGCCTCCAATTGTAAAAGGGCTAAATAAGAAGAAAAAGTTATCTGTGCACTATCCAAATATTTCATCGGCAATACGTCCAGTTCCTCATGGAGAGGGGCTACCAATTCCTAAAGCACCAGAATCCTTCGTGGTTGAGTCAAGTGAGGAAGAACCTGAAGCGTGTAGTCACGTGCAGTTGTAAGAGATAGCCCTTTCCTCGAATACAAGAGAAAAGCCAAAAGAAGCAAAACCGCCACAAACTGAAAACAAAACTAGTGAGAATCCTAAGTATTAAAATTATTCAACTTAGCTTATGGCTATAATTTTTCTTGGTAATCCTATGCAATATATTATGCCATTTAGGCTTTGTTATGTAGTCAATATCACTTGCTTTATATTTGTGGAAAGACATCTATCTATATAATTATTGTGCATTATGTAGTCATTACGCCTATAGTAGAAAACTTTCCGTTTACAGAAAAACTAGAGCCAATTGACAAATTTCATTGTTATATTTGAACTCAGAATGTGAAATTCATTAAGAAATGGATCCTTTTGTTTCCAAAACTGGCAAAAAATAAAAATTTGTTGAACAGTGCCCTGGAATTCAAAAAGACTGGACCAGACAGGTTTTGCAATCGTGTCTCACATGCGTTCTAAAATTGGCGTAGAGTGAACCAAAAAATCATGTACCTGACTAGAACTTGCATTTAAATTTGGCACATGCTGTGCCACTTTTTGAATGCTTGAGAGACACTTTTGCCAAATCTGTCTCTGTATGCCAAAAGAAAGTATATCTTAATAAGTCAGTATATTGTAAGTATTTTGACACAGGTGTTGCACCACAATGTACAAGCGGAGAACTACTTGAACTTGGCACACTGTCAGAACCAGAAGATGCAGATGGTTTTTGAATTTGACACAGCACATTAACAAGAGTAATTAATGCCAGAAATGTGGCGCAACAGCTTTATTGAATTCCTCCCTTTGTATCTTAGAAAAGTAAAGCTAATTAAGACCAACTTTCTTTTGGCGTACAGAGACACATTTTGTGAAAGTGTCTCATATGCATTCTAAATGTGGGACAACAAGTGCCAAATTCAAGTACAAGTTCTAGACAGGTACATGCTGTGCCACCTCTAAAACGCATGCGAGACGCTTTGGCAAAATCTGTCTGCACCAGTCTTCGTGAATTCCAGGGATTGCATTTTAATTTTGAAGTTTCATTTTAATGTTAGTGGGGTTGTCCTCTAAAATGTAATTACAGAGTATTTATGTTTTTAGTTTAAATATTGCTAGATTCTTTTAGGCTACACATCAATCCTTATCATTTGTAATATCATTAAAATGGTCTGTCTTCACAATTTATATTATAACTTTTACTTTTCTTATCTTCTTGTGATCCATGAAACAAGTGTTGTGAGTTCAGGGAAAGGGCAAATGTAGCTTATAATTTCTTGCAGTTGTGTGCACTCATCTTTAGCACTAACTATCAGTTCGAAAAGTTAAAACTACAGTATAAAAAGATGGCAACAGCAGATAAAAACAGAATTATTTTGATTTGTTTAAAAAGATTTGTAAAATGAAACAGAGAAAATTACTTACTACTGTGTGTTAAGCTGGTAACAGAGTATTTGGAAGTCTTCTTTTAACAGTATTTATATCTTTATGTCTTTCATTGTTAAAACTTGGAATTGAGAGAAATGTGAGTGCTATAGTTTTATGGTTATTCTTAATTGTTTTACAAAATTAGACAACTCCAGGTTAGATAAAAAGTTTTCATTGAAAGAGCTGTTGTGGGATGCTAGTTACTAATTACAGCTCACTACTTGCCTATCTTGAAATTGCTGGTCTTAATCTATTAATGTTTGAAGTAGGGATGAGCACAAACATCAGCCATTTGCATGTTTGCCGAAAACTCGAATAGTAAGGGAATTCGGTGCAATGCTTTGACCAATAACAGCACAATGTCACAGTGACTTTGGCCAATCATGCCTCATGGCTAAGTCCACACCCCACACTATAGAAGGCTGCTTACACTGCAGCTTATGCAGTGTGTTGTTGGACACTGCTGAAGACAGAGGGGAGAATACTCTTCCCGAAAAAAAAAAATAATAATTTTTAAAAATAATATTAACCACTTGCCCTCCTGAGGATTTAACCCCCTGCCTGACCAGAGCAATTTTTGCATTACGGCACTGCGTTACTTTAACTGACAATTGCACGGTCATGCAACGCTGCACCCATATGAAATTTACGTCCTTTTTTTCCCACGATTCAAGCTTTCTTTTGGTGCTAATTCCACATCATAAATTTTGTCATAAATTTAGGCCAAAATGTATTCTGCTGCATGTCTTTGCTAAACAAAATCCCAATACATGTAAATGAATTGGTTTACCTGAAAGTTATAGCTTTTACAAATATTCTGGGAATTTTTATTTTTTTATTTTTACTAGTAGCGATCAGCCACTTATAGTGGGACTGCAGGACCGCGGAGGACATTCTGACATTTGGTGGAACTGCCTTGGTGTCACTGACATCTCCAGTTACACCAATACAGTGATCAGTGCTAGAAAAAAGGACTGACACTGTACTGATGGCACTGGGCAGGAAGGGGTTAACATGAGGGCGATCAAAGGGTTAACTGTGTGCTTGGTGTGTTTTGCTAGGGGGCAGTATCTGTGTGCTTCACTGTAAGCACATTGCTTTGGATGGCTGTGCTGTGCAAAGTCATCCAAAGCAGTGTGCCCGACCTGACAGGGAGGAGAACTGTTAGTTAACAAAACAGTTCTCCTCCCTTTCGGAAATCCTCAGTAATCACTGAGCGCCGGCAAGTAATCACTGGTCGAGACCTGGTGATTGACAGCTGCGGATGTGAATGATTCACCCAAAAAGCCATACTTGGCCCTTTAGGCCTGGTAGGACTTTTAAGGGGAACCCCACCTCCCACAAATGGGGGGAAACGTGAGTGCGGTTCTCCCTAAAAGCCATACCTGGCCATTTAGGCCTGGTAGGACTTTTAAGGGGAATCCCACCCCCTAAAAATGGGGGAAAAAGCGTGGGGTCTCCCATAAATTCCTCCCAGATCCTTGAACCAAGCACAAGCCTGGCAGGGCAGGAAATGGGGGGGCGATCAAGTGCCCCTCCCCCCTCCTTGTTGCTTACCAGGCCACATGCCCTCAGCAGCATTGGCTGGTTGTGGGGTTTCTGCAGGCAGAGGGGCTCATTAGCATCAGGGTACCCCTTTAAATAAGCCTGATGCTGCCCCCCTTGTGAATGAGTAAGGGATACTTGTACCCCTACCCATTCACTAAAGGGTTACATTTAAAAAAATTAAAGACGCTAGGCTTTTGAAAAATTCATTTAATTGAACAAAAAGAAAAACCTAGTTTTTGACAAGTCCTTTATTTTAAAAAAAAGCAAAAAATGGTTCCATTGATGTAATCCATCAACAACCACAGCGTCCACCATTGTCCTGATGATGCTGACTCACCGAAATAAAGAAAAACCCGATGCCGCTGACTCGTCTGCACCCGCCAAGCACTTGCCGCAATATGACAGGTCTGACAGTTGCTGGTCACATGTAAACAATTGGGCAGAGCTAGCAGTGACGTTGGGGGTGACGGTGGTACTCATTTTGTGTTTGCTTCACCGCATCTGGTGTGAAAGAACATTCAAACTGGATAGTGACAGGATGATAAAAACACTTGTGTTTATATAATTGAGGGTATCTTGGGGTGATTTATTAAATAAGTAGCTTTACTTAGCAAACTAAAGGTCTCTTCACTTTAACCACCCACACGTGTACAGAGAAAATGCAAAAAGAGTCACTGAATCACTGAATGATCGTAATACTGTAAATGCAGCTATACCTTATTCATTAATCTAAGAAATATTAACTACAAAGTAAAAATTGTTAACATTTTTTGGGGAAGTAATCCTCCCTGAATCTGTTAGCTTATTTGAGAATATTTTTGTTTTTAATGACTTAGAGGCAGTACCGTATATACTCGAATATAAGCCGAGTTTTTCAGCACATTTTTTGTGCTGAAAAACGTCCCCCTCGGCTTATACTCGAGTCAACGTCTGCAGATGTCAGGGGGGGCGCGAGGCTCCGTCAAGGGGGGCGCGTACAGGGGTGGGCAGAGGGCTGCTGTCTCTTACCTGGCTCCCACGATGATCCATCCAGGAAGCGCTGCTCCTTCCGTCACTCCGGCCACTCCCTCACTCCTGCCGCTCGGCTCCGCCTCCTCACCGGTGATTGGCCGCCAGAACTGTAGCTCAGGAAGGTACACAGGTGGCCAATCACGGGCGAGGAGGCGGAGCCGAGCGGACCCGCGAAAATTGAGTGAGGGAAAAGCCGGTAAGTGTGCAGTGTGCAGTGCAGAGGTGCTGCTGCAACCACATATGCTGGCTGCAGCAGCACCATACTGCAACAGGGGTCAGCAAGTGTCATTGGTGTCAGTGGGAGGAATAGTGCAGCATCATTGGTGTCACTGATACTAATGATGGGGTATTATTCCTCCTACTGACACCAACGATGGGGCACTATTCCTCCCACTGACACCAACGATGGGGCACTATTCCTCCCAGTGATACCAATGATGGGGCACTATTCCTCCCAGTGACACCAATGATGGGGCACTATTCCACCCACTGATACCAATGATGGGGCACTATTCCTCCCCTGACACCAATGATGGGGCACTATTCCTCCCACTGATACCAATGATGGGGCACTATTCCTCCCACTGACACCAATGATGGGGCACTATTCCTCCCACTGACACCAATGATGGGGCACTATTCCTCCCACTGATACTAATGATGGGGCTTATACTCGAGTCAATAGTTTTTCCCAGTTTTTTGTGGTAAAATTAGGTACCTCGGCTTATATTCGGGTCGGCTTATACTCGAGTATATACGGTATATACTTCAGTACTTCAGATTTGTTGCTGTTTGTGACCCTAATATGGAGATTTCACTATACTTCCTGTCTCTATAAAAACAGGAAAAATGAGGAAAGTGGATTTCACTGGAATATGAAGACACATACATAAATAATAATCTAACAGTTGTTCTGACCCGTCTCCATTTTACAAGTAAAACTTTTTTTGTGTTTTACGTTTGTATCCACACGGAAAAGATCTTCCATCGCTTCCTATACCGAAATAAAACAATTGCTAATGCAACACAGACTGAATAAAAAGAAGTCCTATCCCATCCCCACTTTGTCCAAAAGTAAAAAAAAAGAGTTTTGGATGGTTGATCTCTAAGTAGTAGAAAAGGAGAAGCAGATGAAACCTTGAAAGCTAATAGTGGTGGTGTTGGGTGGTGGCTAGCTTACATTAATGCAAACACCTATTTGCCTTACCCAAGAGCAACACCTTGGAGGATTAATAGGTTAATGGATGGGCTAGAATTTCATCTTCTCTGGTTTAGAGAAACTAAATGTGTCACAGATGTTCTTTAGAAGACTTTGTGACATAGGAATTATAATTGTTTTACTGTGCAACTATTTTTGTGCTATTATGTGCAATCACTGTACCAATATTAAATAAATAGATGATTATAAAATGTATCAAGTGAATTAAAAACTCTGCATTAAAAAATTAAGATTAAAATCATAAACAGCTCTGTGTTAGCGAAAGCAAAGTTTTATATACTGTAAGATACCTCAAAATATACTATAAAGTGCTTATCTAACAATGTATTCATGGAAATATCCTCCCAAAACACACACACATGCAATTACACGTATTGTAAAATATATATATATATATATATATATATATATATATATATATATATATATATATATATATATATATACACACACACACACTATATTGACAAACGTATTGGGACGCTTGCCTTTACATGTACATGAACTTTAATGGCATCCTAGTCCATAGGGTTCAATATTGAGTTGGCCACCCTTTTCAGCTATAAGAGCTTTAACTCTTCTGGGAAGGCTGTCCACAAGCTTTAGGAGTGTGTGTATGGGAATGTTTGACCATTCTTCCAGAATTCTGTCTCCTTCACTTCCTCTTTCTGTAGGGGTCCCCCAATGTTCTGTTCTTGAACCCTTTTCTTTTCTATCTACATCTCCTCTCTTGGTCTCTTGATTTCCTCCTATGGCTTTCAATACCATCTCTATGCCAATGATACCCAAATCTATCTCTTGACTCCTCACCTCAGTCTTTCAGTCTCCTCTCGCATTACTTAGAACAAGGTGAAAGTAATTCAGTGGCCAAATATGTCTTCTGATCTGAACTCAATCAAACACTTATGGGGAATTCTGAAGAGACAAGTTGAGCATCACTCTCCATCCAGCCTCCAGACTCTAACAGAGGTTGTTCTTGAAGCATAGAAAAAGATAGATGTTGCAATATAATATACTTAAAAATGCAGCGCTATAAATAAAAGAATCAATAATTTTGAATAATAAAAGTGAATGAACCATAAAAGGTGAGCGCCAGTACAGCTCTTATAAAGTGATAAGGTGATAAATCATTTCTTAATGATGTAATAAATTAATGAATATAAAATCAATATACAAAGTGACTATAGTGCATCATAGGTATAGAAATGCAAATCAAGTCCATAAAGTTGGGTGATCCATATTCCATGCTGGTGATCCTAAATGGTGAGGGCTGGTATTATGAGTGCACTCACCAGAAGCGCATGGTATGCGCATATATAATAGTATCCAACAGTGGTCATCAGGGTCTGGGCAGGGGCTGCGGGGTCATCAGGCACATTCAAGGCACACAAGTTAACTCCACTCCCTCACAGGGCACACTCAGCTCCTAGGGACAGCTCACTGTTGTCATCAGACCCTCCAACCAAGAATACCACAGGGAAAACTCCTTGTATATATTATATATACACACACTATATTGCCAAAAGTATTGGGACACCCCTTCAAATCATTGGATTCAGGTGTTTCAATCACCTCCATGGTGAGAGTTTGATACAGGGGGGGATTATGGTGTGGGGTTGTTCTTCAGTGGTTGAGCTTGGCTCTTTAGTTCCAGTGAAGGGAACTCTTAAGGCATCAGCACACCAAGACATTTTAGACAATTTCATGCTCCCAACTTTGTGGTAACAGTTTGGGGATGGCCCTTTCCTGTTCCAACATGACTGCACACCAGTGCACAAAGCAAAGTCCATAAACACATGAATGAGCGAGTTTGAGTATACTTTGTGAAATCTAAACCTTAGCACTTTAATGGAATTCCTCATCTGCGTGTCAGTGAATCATGAACTCCTATGTTGTAACAAGCTTCCTCCCCTGTATGCCACTGACTCCTAAACCCAATTATGCAAGAATGCCAAATGTAGACCACACTGAGGCAGGACATGGAATATTCAAGACCCTTCCAGCTGCATGCCCATTATGGTAATTTACAATTCAGGTGCAATAAAGCAATCCAGCTTGGGGCCTTTAAGAGCCTGCAGCTGGAAGGGTGTTGAATATTCCATGTCCTGCCTCAATGTGGTCTACATGTAAACATTGACATCAGATCTTTTTGGTAGGTTCCTTTTTGGACATAGTAGGATCATATTTGTAGCTCCTATTATGGCCACCATTTACTGGAATTTTATTTTTATTTTATTTACAGCTTTTTTTGAGTGTCTGATCTGTCTTTGAGTAGCATGTGGCATCCTGGACTCTAGCCTGGGGTGTACTG